GGGGGGGGGAGAGAGGAGGGGAAGGGAAGAGGAATAGTACTTGGTGCAGTCAACACTGGTTGAGATAGGGAAGGACAAGGAGATTCCACAACTCTGAGGAAGACCCTTTGCTAGTTGAGCATTAATATTAACTTTCTGAGCTGCATTCTTGAGACAAGTGCAAGCAGCCTGCCTATCTGGTGTAGTTGAAGTAGCAGATTGAAGAGATTGACAAGCAGTACAACAAGGTTGTGGTGGCTTTCCACCAGTACCTTGTAAATAGCTAAAGCAAGGCTTAATTGTGCTAATCACAGTGCCACAACTGATAGCACCTTCTGAAGCTGGTGCAAGTAAGAGACTTAGCAGCATAAAAGTAATGAGAACCATGATCAATGGTTGTACTGCTTTTGCTTGGCTTGAAGACCTCGTGGTTAATTAAAAGACCACTACACCACAAAAGACTTTAGATTTGTATTGAATTTGTTGCTGATGAGACTCTTTTGTTGTGAGTCTGGTTTTATAGATGAGATTTAAGAAAGCTCATTAGCACAAGAAATTTATAAAAATGAAAGAAATGTATGATTTAAGTGATTGAGTGCAAGAAATAGTAATGTAACGCATTGATTGTATTTTTTTGGTTAAGATTGTGCACAGTTTTCTGGTAAAAGTCAAAGTTTGGTGAAATGAAGATTGAGGCAAGGAACTGCTATTGATTCAACATAATGTCTATTCAATATTTCACTTGTCTATTTAGTAAAAAATTGACCTCTGCTAAAACAAAAGGATATCACACTCATTTTGAACCTACTAATTCTAAATTCTAAATTTGTCTCTGTCCTAGTCGAGCATGGTAGTTACATCATACTTACAGCTCAGCTCTACCTAAGCTTATTTCATATTCAGTCTCAATACCCCACCCTTACCTAGTAATAATAATTAACCCAAAAAGGTATTACAATAATCTTATCAGGTAATATTAAGCTGCAATTGGCAGTTCCAATGGCACGGTCTAGAATCAAGCAGGACTATATAAGGAAAATTAATCTGGAAAAGGCCACATGGAAGAAGGAGAAATGATAAGATTTTGCTTGAATGTTGAGATATGACATTGGTGAAAGCCTCTCAAAATGGATATCTCAACTTTTTAGAATAATAAAATTTGCATAAGGAGGACTAATTATTGTTTCTAAATTATGAAGCGTAATATTTACTTTACTAGCTTGAGTGTCCAACATTTGATTCGTTACTTCCTTTTTATTAGGTTAAATTGTATACGAAGACATTTTCCAACTGCATCATTCATATGTGTTACCAGAGTTTTGCAAGTAATCCTACTCTAGGGGCAAAGTCATTGAAACATCAAGGTGTCACATAAATGAAGTTTCTTGAATTCATATGTCATTAAGTGTACAATAATTTTTACTAATTTAATGATCTGAATTTTGCGTTAACCATTAATAAACTGTGTAATTCTTTATATAGAGAAGGACAGTACATTTATTTATTTGATTATACATTTATTTAATCAGTGCGTACGCACCCCAAGCAGGCTTGGATGAGGAAGTCAAGATGTGTTTCTGGGAGGATTTGGATGAGATGGTGCGTGGTATCCCGCATACCGAAAAGCTTTTTATTGGATGAGATTTCAACGGCCACATTAGAGCGACGTCTGGGGGATATGATAATGTGCATGGTGGTTTAGGTTTTGGAGATAGAAACGGAGGAGGAACGTCTCTGCAGGACTTTGCTAGAGCATTTGATATTTGGTGATAAAAAATTCGAGTTTCTTGAAGAAGAGGGAGCACTTGGTCACCTTCCGGAGTTCGGCGAGCGAGACTCATATTGATTATTTACTCTACAGGAAGTCCGATAGAGGTCTTTGCACGGATTGCAAGACCATCTCGAGTGAGAACCTCTCGACCCTTCATAGGCTCCTGGTCATGGACCTTGAGATCACAAGGAAGTGGAGGAAGAGGGCGATGTATATACAACATAGGATCAAGTGGGGAGCAAGCGCTATGTGTGGACCACGACTGTGCAATGCATTAGGGAAGCTGCGAGAGAGGTATTAGGGGTCTCAAAGGATTACTCTGGTGGTCACAAGGGAGACTTGCGGTGGAATAGAGAGGTTCAAGGAAAAGTGGAAACCAAGAAAGTAGCGTATTTGAAGCTAGTGGAAAGTGTAGACGATGAGGAGAAGAGGGCGAATAAGGAGCATTATAAGTTAGATAAAAAGGAGGCAAAGCTAGCAGTTATGGTGGCCAAAACTGCAACTTTTAGTCGTTTGTATGAGGAACTCGAGGGTTGAGGTGGGGATAAGAGGTTGTTCAGGTTAGCCAAGACACGAGACTTGGACCAAGTGAAATATATCAAGGGCGAAGAATATAGAGGTTTGTTGGATGAGGAGCTTATCCATCGGAGATGGAAGACCTACTTCCATAGTCTCTTGAACGAGGAAGGGGACAAGAGCATTGTATTAGGTGAGGGGGCTATGCATAAGATGAACATGGGCAAAACAATTGGGCCGGATGAAAATCCGGGTGGAGTTTTGGAAGAGTGCGGGCAAGGCAGGCTTAGAGTGTCTCACTAGGTTATTTAATGTAATTTTTAGAATGAAGAAGATGCTCGATGAGTGGAGGTGGAGCATGATGGTTCCTGTATACAAGAACAAGGGTGATATCCAAAATTGTAATAACTATCGGGGTATTAAGCTGCTTAGCCATACTATGAAAGTCTGGGAGAAAGTGGTAGAGTTAAGGGTGGTGAGGAGTGTGTCTATTTTCGAGAGCCAGTTTGGGTTTATACCAGGGCATTCAACTACAGAAGTCATCCACTTGTTGGGAGAATGATGGAGCAGTACATGGACAGAGAGAGAGAAGGACTTGCATATGGTGTTCATCGACTTAGAAAAGGCGTACGATAAAGTTTTGAAGGAGGTTTTGTGAAGATGTTTGGAGGTTAGAGGTGTACTTGTTGCCTGCGTTAGGTTGATTAAGGACATGTATGATGGAGTAAAGACCCGAGTGAAGATGGTGGGTGGGGATTCGGACCATTTTACGGTTATGATAGGCTTGCATCATGGGTCGACACTTAGCTCTTTTTTGTTTGCTCTGGTGATGGACGTACTGACGTGCCACATCCAAGGGGAGGTACCGTGGTGCATGCTATTTATAGATGATATTGTACTGATTGACAATACGCGAGACGGTGTGAACGCGCAATTAAAGGTATGGAGCCAGACCCTAGAATCTAAAGGTTTCAAGTTGAGCAGGACTAAGACAAAATACTTGGAGTGTAAGTTCAGTGGCGTGACTCAAGGAGGGGAAGGGGAGGTAAGGCTGGACTCGTAGGTCATCCCTAGGAGAGGGAGTTTTAAATACCTTGGGTCTATTATTCAGGTGGATGAGGAGATTAATGGAGATGTCACACATCGTATTGGGGCGGGATGGATGAAATGGAGACTCGCTTCCGGTGTTCTGTGTGACAAGAAGGTGCCACCGATACTTAAGGGTAACTTCAACAGAGTGGTGGGCAGACCAACGATGTTGTATAGGGCTGAATGTTGGACGTTCATGTCCAGAAGATGAAGGTATCAGGGATGAGGATGTTGAGATGGATGTGCAGGCACACCAGGTTAGATAGGATCAGAAATGAAGTTATTCGCGACAAGGTGGGTGTGGCCCTATTAAAGACAGGATGCGAGAAGCGCGGTTTAGGTGGTTTGGTCATGTGAGGAGGAGGAGCACAGACGCACCGGTGAGAAGGTGTGAGAGGTTGACATTGGAGGGTCTACGGAGAGGTAGAGGTAGGCCAAAGAAGAGGTGGGGAGAGGTGATTAGACATGACATGACGCAGCTTCAGCTGACCGAGGACATGACCCTTGATAGGAAGATATGGAGGTCGAGGATTAGGGTAGTATAGTAGGTAATCTTGAGTGTTCATAACAGTAGTATTGGCACGCAGTCTCGCTTTCTGTTGGTAGTAGGTTTTTATGACTAATAGTTATTTTTCATTGTTGATCACCTAACTGTTTTGTTGTTTTTATTCTGCTTTTATATGATTTTTTGGTATTGTCCCTTCTTGTCCATATTTTCATTAATATATTGCTTATGCTTTCCTGAGCCGAGGGTCTATTGGAAACAACCTCTCTATCCTCACAAGGTAAGGGTAAGGTCTGCGTACACACTACCCTCCCCAGACCTCACAATGTGGGATATTACTGGATATGTTGTTGTTGTTGTTGTTGTTGTTTTTTTTTGTTTTTTTTTTATATGTCATAATCTAAGCATTTGCATTCTCCACCTTTTATCCTCTTCACAGGAAGTGCGTTCTGCACAGAGTTTGCTGCATCTAGTTTCACATAGTCGCATCCTCAGCAAAGTAGAGATTGGGACAACAGCAATATAGAAAATTCCTGAATTCATTTGCTTAGTAAAATCTTAATAATGTGGTAACATTACAATAAGAAACTGACAATGAATTAGAAGATAATAAAGATAATTAAATGGCCCTCTTTTCAGCTTTGAATAAAATTGAGAGGAAATGAGAAAGCAAACTGAAAAAAGAGAACAGTACACACGGATGAATAATCAGCTAGTAAATGGATGAACTGTGTTACACATCCCTGGGTTCTTGACACACCAAAGTGGCTGAATCGGTTCAGCACCTATTCCTCTGGCAACCATTCTGTACCTCCATTCATTCAATCGATCAGTAGCCTCAGCATATCTCTTCATTCCTCTTTCATCGCAATTCCCTGACCACAATGTTTCTGCCATTGCTGACGCTCTAGGCCAGATTCTTGAATCCATAACAGTTGAATCAGCTTGTTCTGACCATAAAGCTACTTCCCCTCCAATTACCAATTGAGCCTCCTCGTCAGATAGGCCATAGGTTATATCATAGTTGTAAATGGTTTCCCAGGTCTTGAAAGGTCCGCACCAGGATCCACCATTGCCTTGGTCAGTACCTGGTGGCTGGTCATAGCGGCTGTCATTTCCAACGAAGCTCCCATGGCCACAATCCAAGTAATAGTACTCTGCAGATGACACAATGACACGGTAGCCAGAAGAGACAAGCTGCTTAGTATTGTTTGGTCCATTATTCCAAGTTTGCATAACAACATTCTCTGGGGAAAGCAGAGATGGACTCACTTTCACATTAGCACTCAATATAACATCCTCCCAGTAGACCACCGTACGGTTGAGTGAGAGGATTTCAGGTAAGGTATTATTGATAAACATTTCGAGCAGCTGACTGAGAGTTCCATTGCTAGCAACAAACTTTTGGATTGATGGATCAGTATTCCAACACGCTGAATTGATCTCATCTGCTCCCCCGTGAAAGAATGAATCTGGAAACATGGCGATTGTATCGTGGATGACATTCTTGACTACTTCATAGGTCTTGGGACTCAAGGGGTTCAGTTGACCAGTACCTGGTTCGGCTGCAAGAGCTGGACTACTAGCAGCAGGCCACCAGAACATATTCGCACAAGTGAT